CCACACTCAGTGCAAAGCCCAGGGATCACCAGGGTCTGACCCTTCCAGCTTGGACCCTTCCTTCCCTCTCCACCCCTGCAATGGCCCAAGGCCCAGCAGACCCTGCTGCTTGGGCTGCCTCTGATCCTGAGCCCTGTGTTCCTGCATCAGCTCCCACTGCTGCTGGGTCCACACTGGGACTTTTCCAGTGCTCCCAGAGCCTCTGGTGCCGTCATCGTCATTGGGGGAGGCTTTTATATTGGTTTTGTAGATCTATTTGTACATATCTGTATAGATTTCATTATTTTCCTATGTACATTATTATCCTGTAGTATCAATAGTATTGTTTCATTAAACCTGTCAGTTTTATTTTCCAACCTGTAAAGTCTCTCTCTCTTTTTCTCTTATTCCCTCCTGGGGAGGGCAGAAGGGTTCACAGAGAGCGTCTGGCCAGGGTTTAGTGCCCAGCCCAGCCCTAGACCACGACACTGGGCTGCCAGGATGCTGGGAGTGGGGAGAGTCCATTGGAGAGGACACAGCAGGAGGTGGTCAGACCAGAGAAGCAAAGCTGAGCAGGGAGACAACTGGAGCACATGAAGGGACAACCCTGACACGGACAAGCCAGGAGCTGACAGCTGAAACCCAGTTTAAAACTGACTTTGATCCAGGAATTTTCTCCTCAGATCCAACACACCAGGGTTTGGACAAGGAGTTAAGGTCTCACGTTGCACCTTCTCAAGAGGTTTGGGTCAGGAGGGTCTTTGGTTCCTAAATCTTTTTGTCACCACTGCAAACTTTTCCCGTTACCTAAAATAAACCCACTCTAACTATAAGGAGGTCTCCACAGAGCCTTTGCATTGGTTTAATGAAGCAGAGGTGGAAAATCTGGTTCAGCTCTAAGATGGCACACAGACAAACCTGGCCAAGACCCCTGGGGAGGGCACCCACCCCCAGCTCCTTCCCTGCACCCCATGGCCTCCCCAAAACAGGAGCATACCCAGGACCTGCTCTCCCCAGGGCATTGCCACAGTCTGAGCTACCAGAAAACCAGTTTGGCTTCTCCAGTACCAGTTGCCTGACTGGGAGGTGGAGAGGGCAGGGGGGATGTGCCATCCAGCCGAGTGAATAGGGACACACCAGAGGTGGCGTGTGACCAGGATGTGCATGACATCTTCATTTTCTGATAACTGTAGGGGGTTGCAATTAAATGCGCTGATCCGATAATCATTAGCTGGGTGATCAGCCAGCCGTCAGGACTGCCTGTGTCCCTTTCCGCTAATTAAATTGCCTTTGATTTGCAATCAGATCTCATATGAGACAAGCGAGCTGGGGGCAGGCTGGGGAGCGGCTGATGAGTGCATGGCCCAGCACCGTGGCTCCCTGCGCTGGCAGAGCAGGGACATGGGTGCAGGTGAGGGGACACATCCAGAGCCGTGTCTGCATAGGGGCAGGGCTCCCACCACGCAGCTGAGCTGCGGTGCTGTGAATTTTGGGACACAAGCAGGCACCCAGGTGCTGATGTGGCTGTGAGGACACCCATGTCTGCAGGTCATGGGATGGGGCAGGGGCAGAGCTGGCCTTCCAGGACTCAGGCATGGAGCTGACCCCT